ATTTTCATTTACTTTCATTATTTTAACTGTCTGTGACTAAAACAAACGCCATCCCCACATTATATCTATTAATTGGTTATGAACATATTAAAAATCCAAGGTACTTATACTCAACTGAACGTGAGTATAATGAGGTTAACACAATTGCAGCTGATGATTTTTCAGCGTTGACCGTTCAAGAAATTCTGCTAAAGTAAGTCAATTATTCATTACCATTCACTTTACTTCTAATACTAGCTAATCTATTCGCTATTATTAACTGAATGTCATTGAAAATTCATAATTGAGAGCGGTCGTAAATCTCAATCATTGCGCCGAAATGGGTCATTTGCTGAGTAAATCTGATTAGGTAACAATAGAGAATATAATGGTGAAAATGTGTATTCTCAAAGTACTTAATAATGATGTCCCTTTTAATCCTTCAGCTCCAATGCTCTATATTAACAATAATCTTTGATATATTCCCTCAGACATCCAAAAAAGACATCACATTTTACAAAGTTACGTGAGTCGCTAATTTTGAGTTAATTTATTTAGATTACGGCGTTATTTCCCAATTGTCGGGAACTGATACGTATTATAGTTAATGGCTGAGAATGCTCGCAGCACATATTTAAAATTTTGAATAAACGAATGGAAGAGTTACTCGTCGAAGACCACTCAAAACTAACTTATCGGTCTAATTTGAGTCATATTTCAGATGAAAGTTCTGTGAATGGTGACTTGAAATAAAAATTCGTTAACAGTCGCTAATCTCTCGCTCACCTTGCCTTCATTCACCAAACCCGCATTTGTGTGAGCCGACTGCAAGTAGAGTTGGCAACCCTCGTAACCGTCCTCATCTTCCTCACACTTTTCCGCCGGTGTCTCCAAATCGGAAAGTGTCTGCGCGAACACACACGCACCATTTTCCACCAACAACTTCACCATTGGTAGATTATTACACGACGCAGCACAATGCAACGGTGTCCACCCATCAGAATCCTGTAATGTGCGATTTAGAGAGATCTTATCAAGATTGTGATCTTCTGATCAGAATGACGATCGAACAACTTGTTAGCGTCTGATTGGATTATGATGATTGCTTTCAAATTGGCTGATGTGGTAGCAATTAAAATGGGTTCATCGGTTTGAGAGAACTTTGATTCGTTTAAACTGTCATTTTAGGACGGCATTCATGAGGGCAAACGAATGATGAATTGAACCATAAAATATTACTTGAGCATTAACATCCGCAGCAGACTCAACAAGAAATCGAACGATCTCGTAGTGACCTGCACAAATCGCATTATGCAACGCAGTGATACCTTCATCGTTGCTCGCTGATAGATCGGACATCTGAAGGTTTTTGCTTTACTTACGCATTACGTTTGGATATGATAAAATTAATTGTTGAGTGTAAGCATCATAGAAGCAGATGGAACTCCAATTTCAACGATGGAAATGAAATGTAGAAAAGGATGCCTGTGAGCATGACTGCGAGCTAGATTTCTAAGAAATGTTAATGTCGTGGCGACTGACCTTTGCGGCACTTGCTTTCACTAGATCCATTTCGCCCTCCAAAGCAGCATCTAAAAGCAGAGCCAACGGATCGAACACAATGTTACGATGAGGTTTCTTCAAGCCATATGGTCGCAGAATACCCTGTAATGTGGAAATTCAATAAGTTTTTTTTAGAAGAGCAGTTTGAAAACGCCTGTAAAACATTTAGGAGTTCATATGAGTTCATCAGCAATACCTTACAGCCTATGTTCTGCGATAAAAATAAAATTGCCCTCAATACCACGGAAACAGTTTCCAGTTCAAAACAAATTGAACTTTTACCATCCGAACAAACCAATAATGAGAAGAGTGTGAAGGAAAGCTACCTTATCAGGAGGCGGCTTAATCAACTTCATTGATTCATAGAAAACATCGTCGAGAAGCTGCTGCTGGGAATCTTGAGACTCTGAAGTGATAGAACTTCCTCCAGTAGACGTTTCCTTCTCAGTGATTAACTCCTCTTCAATTACCGGTGAATCAACAACAACCGTTACGTCTGATTCTATCACTGACACTGCTTCAGTCGTTTCATCCAATAATTT